AAACTGCAAAAACATGTTTTTCTGCCAAAACCGTAAAAACATTTTTTTCTAGCTAAAACCGCAAAAATGTGTTTTCCGCCAAAACAAAAAAAAAACACATTTTTCCTCCAAAACTGTAAAATACGTTTTCTCGCTTAAACCGCAAAAACTCGTTTTTCCGCCAAAACCGCAAAAAAATATGTTTTCCTACCTAAATCGCAAAAACACATTTTTCCGCTAAAACGCATTTTCCCGCAAAATCAAAAAACACGTTTTCCCGCCAAAACAGCAAACACACGTTTTCCTACCAAAACCGGAAAAATCCATTTTCGGCCAAAACGCGTTTTCACGCAAAAACACATTTTTCTGCTAAAACCGCAAAAACGTGTTTCCCCGCTATAACTGCAAAAACGTATTTTCCAACTAAAACCGCAAAAATAAGTTTTCCCGCCAAAACCGCAAAATCCCGTTTTTCGCAAAAACACATTTTTCCGCCAAATCCGCAAAAACGCATTTTCACGTCAAAATTGTATAAGTTAATATATTTAAAATTAATATCATAGATATGACTAAATCAAAACAAGGGTATTTTAATAATTTTTTTTACCAAACTCATATAGATGGAGAAGAAAAACAGAGAAACAAACATGAGTTCATCTAGATGATCCATCTAGATGGACCACCTGAATGGACAACCAAACAATCTCTAAAATGTAGATGTACTATCTAAATGAATCATCTAGATGGATTAGGAAGAAGTCACATAGAAACATCAAATAGGTAAACATCATAGAAATGATAAGGAGCCTATGAACATAAGACAGCTAGTCCAGACCCCTCAGTTATAATCCATGGCACTTGTTTCTTCTTCAGCCTCCAGTATAAAAAGCACTCCTGCATCGGCTTTACGCTTTTTGGGACAAGGTTCATCAGGGATTTCGATTGTTTCAGTCAGTAAACGGTATGTTCCTTCATCTATTAGCAATCCTGGCCATTCAGGGCTTTCTGGTTTATTAATGTCCTGAGTCGGAGTCACAATGAAAATATCCTAAACCTGCGAACAGCACACTGTGAAGCAGTTCGACGTAGTAGGGGTCACCTCTGAATTGATCAGAGACTATGAACAAACTTTCTTGAAATGGTTTACAAGGAGATTCCCATGCCCAAAAAAGAATGTCATTTGCCATTCTAATACGTCTCGAGGCTTTACCCCCTGTGGGAAGAAAGTAGATTCTGGAGGCCCAAGTCTTGTCACCCAGTAAGGCATCCCTCCAAGAACCTTTCTTGTCATCATCGAGTCGCTCACAATGCACATTGATAACATTCTCTCCACGAAAGCCTAATCGATCAAGAGCTTCTCCGATATTAATACCAATAGAACCAAGATCATCCATACCAGCAGGAGGGATTGGATAGTCATCCATGTTCCCGTACACCTCTGTATAATAATTCCCGGAATAAAACTCGTCGCCTTCCCCCATGATTCGAGGATAATCAGAGACTTTCTCGAGAGACTTTGAATTTGTGAGAGGTTTTTTTTTCTTTTTCTTCTTTTTATAATTGCGGCTGGTGAAAACAATTCTCTTCTTCCTATGGGCCTATTAATTAAACTAAGGCCCATTAATATCTTCTCTTTATCTTTTTAATGTGCACAGCTCAATACGCCCATTTAATATCTAAAACCTACTCTCCCACGTAGGCGGGTTTACCTGAAAGAGCGGCATTTAAATCCGATCTAGTCCGGCGACTAGGCGGTTCCTAGGTTTCTCCTCCCTACGACCATGGCGAACCGTACGGATCCGTTGGCGAAGAACATAAGAGGGACCAACCCTCAGAACCTCGTGGAGAAGATCGTGCGGGCGAAAATCTACCAGCAGACTTTCTGGAAGGAGCAGTGTTTCGGTCTCACGGCGGAGACGCTTGTGGATAAGGCTATGGAGCTTGACCACGTTGGTGGGACCTTCGGTGGTAACCGAAAGCCCACTCCTTTCCTTTGCCTTGTGCTGAAGATGCTACAGATCCAGCCTGAGAAAGAGATTGTCGTGGAGTTCATCAAGAACGATGATTACAAGTAGGGTTTTTTAACCAAAGCTGTTGTCTTTTGTTAATGCTGCTTTTGGGTGTTAGAAATGTTGAGTTTTGAGAAGATTACAAGTATGGAAGTCTTGTGTTTTGATAGTACTGCAATTAATTAGCCTTGGTTTTAGCTGATTTTTAGGCATATATATGTTTGGCTAGCTTTAGGCTTTTGTGCCTTAGGAGTGTCAAGCTTGTTTTTCAACGCTTTGGGTGTTAGAAAGGTTGATTCTTTAGAAGCTTTGACGCTCTTAGGTTTCTGCATATATGTTCGTATTCTTGGTGCGTTTAGTCTGGTCTTAGCTGTTTCTCTAGTGTATATATGTTTGGCTAGCTTTAGATTCGTGCGTCTTAGGATTATCAAGCTTGTTTCTTGAGGTTTTGGGTGTTTAAGGTTGATTCTTGATAAGATTTGACTCTCTTGTGTTTCTGCAGATATCTATTCTAGGTTCATTTAGCCTGTTGTTAGCTGTTTATCAAGCGTATATATGTTTGGCTGCTTTTGCTTCATGCGCCTAAGGATTATCAAGCTTGGTTTTGGGTGTTGTAAAGGTTGATTCTTGAGAAGATGTTAACTCTCTTGTGTTTGTGCAGGTATGTTCGTATTCTAGGTGCGTTTTATCTCCGTCTCACTGGATCTGATGTTGATGTCTATCGCTACCTTGAGCCTCTCTACAATGACTACCGTAAAGTGAGGCAAAAGCTATCTGATGGGAGTAAGTTTAGTTTTCATTTAATTGAGTATTAAACTTTTGTTTGGTGTGTTTCACTAACGAGTTTTATTTCCTTGGGTTTGATTAGGGTTTTCGTTGACACATGTGGACGAAGTCATTGAGGAGCTTTTGACCAAGGACTATTCTTGTGATATTGCAATGCCACGCTTGAAGAAAAGGTTTGTTCTTTTGCTAGATAAATGTAGCTTAATATTAGCTTTTGGTTAATCTGTTACTGTGATGATAGGTGGACGCTTGAACAGAATGGTGTTTTAGAGCCAAGGAAGAGTGTTTTGGAAGATGACTTTGAAGAAGAAGAGGAAAAGGAGGAGAATGAAGGGATTGCTGACGGATCTGAAGATGAGAAGGTCACTGCTTTCACTCTGCAATAGTGTTTGTATTTGTTACCATCTCTGTTTCTGTTTAGGAACTCTATGTTGATACCTTCTTCCTCTTCGTTTAACAGGATCATCACCGTAGGAGTCCTGAAAGAGAAAGAGATAGGGACAGAGACAGGGACAGGAGACGTGACAGTCATAGACACAGGTATCTGAATCCTTACCCTTACCGTTCTTGTGATATGTTTGTTGCTTTATGTTTGTGGAAGCTGTTTGATCTAGCTAATGCTCACGCATAATGTCTAGTATTCTCTATTTTGAATGTCTGTTTCCACTATGGCATCTCAAGCCATCAGCGGTTTCGTACAGCTTCCGAAATTGAAAACTGTGGAGATCCCAACAGGTTTTACTGTACTGACAGTGTACAGTAAGAAGTATGATGGATCAAACATTCTTACAATAGCTTATCTCTATACATGCCAATTGTTCATTGTGTTTTTTACTTATTACAAGTGTTGACACCTTACTTTGTCATTGGCAGGGACCGTGATTATGATAGAGACTATGACATGGATAGAGACTATGACAGAGACTATGAAAGGGAACGTGGGCGTGGACGAGACAGGGATAGGGAGAGAGACAGAGACAGAGATCACTATAGGGACAGAGATAGGGAGAGGGAAAGAGGCAGGGACAGAGAAAGAGAGAGGGCAAGGCGGAGAAGTAGAAGCAGGAGTAGGGATCGTAAGAGACATGAGACTGATGATAGGGAGGAACCAAAGAAAAAGAAGGAGAAGAAGGAGAAGATGAAGGAAGATGGAACAGATCATCCGGATCCTGAGATTGCCGAAGCTAATAGACTGAGAGCATCTCTTGGACTGAAACCGTTGAGATAAACCGAAGAAGTACCTATCAAACTGGGACATGGTTCTTGTATCCGGTTGTAAGATATTCTAAGGAGGTTGAAAGTGTTTTGTGCAATTATGGAATCTTTGATGTTGTCTTGATGATCATGTAGAACAAACCGGAGTGTTCAGGATATTATGTGCGCTAAACCAGATTATTCGCAAGATATTCTGATTTTGATGTCATCATATCTATAGTTTAAACCGGATGCTTAACCGGTATATGGCATAATAACATGGCTGCATCACTTATTATTAGTCAAACTGTCAAAGTAGGTATAATAATTACGTTCAGTTCTCTTAGCTCATTCGGATACTTTTTGTTTCAGTCGCGTTCGGTTAAATAATATTTCAGCTTCGGATATATTTTAAACCATCTTACAAAATCGACTTGGATAGTTTTTCAATTTAAATCGGTATAGGTCATGTATTTCGGTTTGGATAGTTTTGCAATTTAAATCGGTACAGGTTATTTCGGTTTGGGATGGTTTTAGTTATGGATAGCTGATTCGAGGTTTTTTCTAAAGCCATGTCTAACCCAACACTAAAATTCTATTTTAGTGTGATCTTAACATTAAAATTTTCTCCGATCCAATTCTACACTTCACACTGTTTTAGAACAACACTCTAATTTCACACCAAATTTGGTGTAACATTATTTACCACACTAAAACACTATTCATGTTAGTAAAACATTACTTTTTTATTAATAAATTACTCAATTAAATAATTGAGAAATAAAACATAAATACATATAAAATTATAAAATAGCTTTTAGTGTTAAGTTTAGTGTTGTTGTTAGAAATAAATTTATTTTTAATGCTGAAGTTACACTAAAATAGTATAGTTTTAACACAAAAATAATGTTATAGGTTGGAGATGATCAAAATGCAAATGAGATAAATGGGACCCACAAGAAACTTTGCGGGTGAAATGATACGGTTAACATAATCATTAACCATCACGGCGCGCGTGCTTCTCTTGCCCCCGCCCACGACGTCGTTTAATAACTCTCTCCCTCTGCTCTTCACACCTTCACTCTCAGCTTCCTCCGTCTCCACAAGCTTCCGAATTCTCCAGCGGAAAAGCAATGTCCGTGAACGGCACCATCGATCCTCGATTCTTATACCACGTGGAAGAAGAATCTCTGAGATTCCGCGTCGGAGATTCTGTTCCCAAGAGCAGAGAGCTCGATCGTAGTTTCGAAAGATTCCGGCAAGGTTTCTGCGGAAACGACAAGGATGAAATGAGATACTCCAACGCAGATGTCGATGATGATGACGAGGAAAACGCTTGTATCCAAAGACGCGGCTCTCTAGTACAACCTGGTGTTGATTCTTGTAGCTCTGTAGCTGCAGAAACCAACATAAAAAGTAAAGATCCAGGTATATACTAGCCTACAGTTTATTAGGGATAATGTATCCCACATCGGGAATTGAGTAAGACCTAAGTAATTATCACCAATTAGTTTTAAATTGGAAACCCATAATAAACCCCGAATCTAATTAGGAATAATGTACTTCCTGGTTTTGCTCAGGTTCAGCTGGTTGGGAACTGATTGTGAGAGACGAGGATGATGAGGAGGAGAAAGCATCTCTGGATCGCCATAAGGTGATGATCGCTAATGATGGTTCCAGCCAATGTAACACGCAGCCTAAGCGGGCTTTTGCTTCTGTGGAGAAGGAGAGAGTCAATAGTGTTAGTTCTTGGGAGTCTCTCAAGTCCATCCTCTCTGATCCTGTCACGTAAGTAAGGGTTTTTAGCATTTGCTTGCGAATTAGAATCACTAGAGGTTTGTTAATTATGTGTACTTTGATGATTATCGCTGTGTGATGGAGAATGTGCATCTTCTTCTAGAGAGACTGATGAAAAAAAAAAATGCATCTAGTTTAAAGGCTAGTTCCTGTCGACTAGGATCAGTATACGTTTGTGAACTCAATTTCAATGTATTTTGATTGATGGTTAAGGAGTGATGGAATGTGTATCTTCTTCGTGAGAAACTGGTGAAATGTAGTATGTAGTAGTTTAAAGGCTACTTCTTTTCAACATTCTCAAGGATGCTTTGGCTTTACTTTGCTTTTGACAGTGGAGCGTTGATGAGTGATGCTACAATACTGCCTTGTGGACATTCTTTTGGAGCCGGAGGGTTAAAAGAAGTTAAAAGAATGGTGAATGATCCTTAACCAATCCGTTGATGATTTCTTTTTGAATCATTGCTAATCAGATATTTGTTGTCAGAAAGCATGCTTTACATGTTCCCAACCTACTTCAGAAGGATCAGAAAAGCCTAATCTTTGTGAGTTTAACGACCAGATTACTAATTTCAGCAAAAGACTCATCAGCTCTTTTTCTAATGATCAGGTTTATTGGTTTGTTCAGCTCTCAGAATTGTAGTTCATGCTTTCCGCCAAGAAGAAGAATCAGATCATGTTCACTCGTTGAAGCGAAGGAAAGAAAGGTCGGATCAGGTTTGTTTCCTTTTACTTATGTAAACCTTGTAACCTCATTTACAATGAGAAGAAACCATATAAGCAGAACTTCTTCCTTCTTATCTGCAGCACAAGAGAACTTTCTATATTCCAAACATCACTGACACTCCTAAGAGCACTAGTAGAGGCATTCAGTGTCCTTTCTCCATTGGTGATCGAATTATCATAGAGGTATGTGATATTCTTTCTAGAAAATACTACTTTCATGTTTTGACAAATGAATGTTCCTGTGACTTAGGGAAACAAAAGGACACCTCCACGGTTTGTGGGACGCAAGGCTTTGATAATGACACACTGCTTAAATGGATGGTTAAGTCTTGTTTCCTCTCGCTAAATATTTGCACTCATTTTGATCCACTAGATGCTAAAGCTCTTGGAATAAATATGGGTTTCTATTTTAGGTATGTTGTGAAGACAGTTGACAATGGAGAGTCTATTAAGTTGCAACATTGCTCACTGACCAAGATTCCATCAGACAATTCACCTTCTGAGGTAACAGTGGCTGAAATGGCACCGTATTGGCTGTCTAGCTCATAGAAACCATCACCTGTTATTCTTCAGTCAGAAGAATTGCCTAAGCTCATAGAAACCAGAACATGTAATTCTTCTTAGATATCTCATTATGTAGTAAAGCAACGAGACAACAAATCTCTGTATTAAGCCGTGTGTTTTTATTCAAATGAAACTTTGCTCTCTTAGACCAGACGCGTGTACTGAACCAAATGCCAACTTTGTAGCATTGATAACAACAGATGTCTTCTAATGTTACATATACGATTGACAAAAACTATCAATCCCGTGTGTTATTTACAATACAGATGATGACCAACAAAAGTGCTGACACAAAAGACAATAGGCTGTGGGATTAACCGTGGTCGAGTCATACTAGTCTCCAGATTAGGAACTAGTAGCTGGTGGCTTCATCATTGACAGAAGAAAACTGCAGGTTGAAAAAATGGAAGCTGCAGCCGCCTGAACCGCCATACTAGTATCCAGATTGCTACCATCTTTCCCAAAACTGCAGACAAATCAACAAAACTGGTTAAACCGGTCTTATTATAGGCTTTTAGGGGACTGTTTGGTCTTAATTTCCTCACCTTGAATCTGATGACTGGGAACTGAAAGGCGAGTACTCATCCATTTGTCTTAGTCCTTCATTGCATCGTGACTGCATTTCCTTCACTTGGTTTAACGAACGTTCCTGCGTAGAGTATCAATACATTAAACACCCACCTTAAGAACCATGGCTATAATCATTCTGGCTTGAAAGACGGTTGATAAGTACGCACCAGATCTTTCTCTTCATCACAAAGAGCTTTCTTAATCTGATTAAATTTTGCAGACCACTTAATATGATGAGTCTCTGTTACTGATTTATCAGAAGTAACATCACCAGAGACAGTTGTAGAAGACGACTCTTTTGATGAAACGAGAAGAGGTAACTCCGCCGTCAAAATATTATGAACTCTATTCCTACTATCCTGCACAGCTGCAACAACATCATAACATCTAAACTCAGATCACTAAGCCCCTCTTGCGATATTTCAATAAAATACGTAAAGACTATAACATACACACCTGCAAGCCGTCCACTGAGGTCTTGGTGAAGAAAGTCCAACCATTGAGATGCTACGGTAGCAGCTAAAAAGAAAACAAACGGTTTTCCTTTTTAAGCATTTCTTTCTGCAATAGATTAATCATCATGTACAAGTACTAACAAAAGTCTTCATGTTTCCACCATAAGACTTGACCACTTACTACTTTAGACATTTAGAAGAACAAGGAATGAGTGTAGTAAAAGGTACTAACCTTGAACAGCTAGAGACGTGGCTTGTTCCGGGGTTGTAAAGGAATTAACATGATCAGATGCCCCAGAAGATGGTAACTTAAAGGCTAATGCCTTATCTTCTCTGATTGAATCTGAACATTCAGGATAAACAAAGTGATCAAAAGACTAAGTCGGGTAACATTACATCTTAATGGTGGAAAATGGGAATGATATAGATACCTCTTACATTCAAATCGGCATTTCTTTCCCCATCAGTCGCATTTCGAATCAAAGCTTCAATGATAGAGCAGACTTGTTTCTTACTCCTGACATGGTTAATGATCCCAGGGTTCAGCTCCGTCAGCAATCCACTTGGTGCCGTTACATTCGAGAACCTATCTACCTGCTGTTGTTCCTTCCTACTAGGAGCTTCGTTTTTCTTCTTCAAAGAATCGCTTCGTCTCTTATTCTTCTGTTGCTTTTGTGCAGGTACTTCAACGGGAGTAGTTGTTGCTGCTGAGCTCGGTGCTGATACTCCACCCAAAGGGCCAGAGAGAAAACCGTTTCGCTTCATTTCCATCCACCGCCGCATGGAATCTGACTTCTCTAAAGAAGTCTCTGCACCACTCATCTGAAAAGGACCTGCTTTCTCGCTAACGGGATCTCGTGGACTAACAACAACAGATTCAGAAACATCCCTCGGTTTCACTAGGCTGCTATTTTTAGAAACAGCATCTACTTGTCCTCCTCGTTGTGACTCATCTTTAGCCAAAACATCCTTATCAGGCAAAGCCTGTTTTCCAGAATTAGCAACCAATCTATTATTATCTTTAGAGATTGAGCTGGAAGATTTTACATCTTTGGTCAAAACATCCTTTTCTCTCACTACCCTTCCCAAACCTTCAGCAGCAGGAGTAACAGACATCTGTTCACTACTAAGTTTCTGCTGCTGAGCAATTCCAGTATTTGTATCAGGTTGCATATTACAGCTTTTAGTATCTGTAATAAAAACATAGAAACAAAGCGACCCTAATTAAGATAGTTTCTAAATTTGAATTAGAGCATACTCAGCTTAAACAAAGATTACCAGAATCCAGATCTCGAACTTTAGCACGTTTGGACCCTAATTCGTCTCTCGGCTCTAATCCATCTCCTTTACGCTTATCTCCCGAAAGCTGCAAAATTGGGAAAACCCAAAAGACAAAGAAGAAAACCCATAAATAAATTGCTATTATAACCAACCAAAACGCAAACTTTGACAAAAAGCCATCGGAAAAATTTTAAAGAATCAAACCTTAGAAATCGACGCCGGTTCCGACGAAATCCCTCTTTTTTCCTCCATATCCACACCAGAAAGAGATCGACTTTCGAAAAACCCAGATGCCCAATTGCGCAGACCGATTCCAAATAGTGATTGAGAAGAGAAGTGATATTTGAAGAAATGATTTTAGGGTTTAGGGGATTCGTGTGTTTGAGTGAGTGAGATTCAGATGATGGGATCGATGGGGAGAAAGGAAGAGAAATAGATTTTGAATTCAAATTGAGAAGTGAAAGGATTTTTATGTTATAAAGGATTGGCTTTCCTCGCGTTTTCCGCCGCTCATCTTTCTACCCTTTTATATCCCTGCATAACACTCCCAAGTTAGGGCTCTATACAAAAAAAATAAAATAAATTGTTGCATAGACGACGTCGTCTAGCGCTTGTGTACCAGACCGAACTTTAATTTTGGAATCGATTTAACCATTCCAAACTAAAATTTTATATTTTTTTATTAAGTAAACATATATGTTTTAATTTATATAATTTTTTATATTAATATTTTGATTAAATATAATATAATAAAATAATTAAAATGATGAATAAAGAAAGTTACATGTAATTAAAGTTAATATATTACAAAAAATAATAATTTTGTTTTTCTACTAAAACTAAAAATGTGGAAGCACCGTAGCTTAATGGTTAAGGTTCAAAGACTTTTACACCAGGTATAGGGTTCGAATCCCAAACTACGCAATTTCTACACCAGGAGGGTTTCAATTCCCGGAGAAGGTGAATGGCGAATTATGCAAATTGGAGAAAAAACTTAATAGAGATATTCAGCATGGTGCAAGGCATACCATCAGGAATGGATCTCAAAGAGCGGCTTAGGGTGATGCAGTCAAGCGTGAATCCGCATAAGGCAACTAGAATTGTCAGCTGTAATATCATGTAATATCGTCTATGTAATTTTTCATAGTTTGTAATGCATAATTATCGAGTGTTAAAAAAAAAAAAAATTGGAAACATATAATAGCAATAAATGCGAGTTTCAAGTTTAATTTTGTAAAAAGAAAACATATTGTGTGACTTAAGTTTTGGTAGTAAATCAGATCATTAATTTGGTGAAATTAATCGGTTTCGGCCATTTTGACGGATGAAGAAACAAATCACAATCACGGTTAAACCGGTTCGACCTCCCGGTTTAACACACTGTTTTTTCTCTTTTGACATCATCGTGAAATCAGAATTTCTTTTTCGCTGTCCGAATCCGACAGATAACAGACAGTTGTAAGAGAATGCCAAACCTAAAAATGACGACAAAAAAGGCGATTTTAAAACGGTTACAATTTCTGGATTTCTTCACCACGATTCAAGTGGTTGAATATGTTTTTGGATACGGAGAGGGGAATTTCTCTTGGAATATCCCCACGAAGTTAGTTATCCCCACGAAGGAAGTGTTAAGCCATCGTGATGAATCAGTTACTCCATGGATTTCGCAAAAGAGTGATTATAAAATTGCAAATACAATCTCAGATTTGTATCAGTTTCTATTCGCTCTCTTTGCTACATCATTTTCCTACTGTTTTCTCTTACACAACGTTAAGATGGCTGACAATATCCGAAGAGGTTTGCAAGACATTGACCTTGGGGCAGGTGATGCCCCTTTTGTCCTCCCAACTAACGTTGTACAACAAGCAGAAGAGGAGAATCGATTCATCCTCATTGGGCGCCCTGTTATGCCTCGACGTCAGAATCTACGCGCTCTCATTGCAACGATGCCGCGAAACTGGGGACTAGAAGGGATTGCGCGTGGTCGTATCATTGAAGGACGCAGATTTCAGTTTGTCTTCCCTTCGGAAGAAGCAATGGACATGGTGATCAGGAGGGCTCCATGGGCTTTCTCTGATCGTATGCTGGTTCTACAAAGATGGACGCCACTAATGGATATGGCGCTATTGAACTTCATTCCTTTTTGGATTCAAGTACGTGGAATTCCTTTCCAGTATATGAATAGGGAAGTGATTGTTCATATAGCAAGAGCCATGGGTCAATACATTCAAATGGATTATAATGAAGAAAACGGAGGAAGATTGGAGTTTGTTCGTATCCGTTTGAACTGGGAGGTCTCTCAACCGCTACGCTTCCAACGCAACTTTCAGTTTACACCTGGAGTCAACACCCTCCTTCGATTTCAGTACGAGAGATTAAGGGGGTTTTGTGAAGTTTGTGGAATGTTAACTCATGACAGTGGTGCTTGTCAAATTCAAAATGGAGGTATCAATCAAGATGGAGATGATAATGACAGTGGTGATGATCAACAAGATGATTTGGTTCCTAACCAAGGAGTAATCATTGAAGAAATCAATGAAGACGAAGATCAAAATGAGGAGGTAGACCATGTGGTTCCAGAAGAAGAAGCTTATGAAAGAAACATTGCAGAGATGGAAGCAGAAGCGGATGTAGACGAGCTCTGGAATGGCGAAGCTATGCCTAACATGTACTCTGGTGATCTTAATATGGAGGAGATGTACAACCCCATTGATCCTTTTGGTCTTAAAGCGGAAAGGGAACTCGGTGGGAAGAGGAAACAATGGATGGTTGAAACGACACATAATGTTGCAAAGTTTTCCAACATGGAGAAGGGTCAGTCAAGTGGTAATGCTGAGAGGAAGAGACTGCGTTCAAGTTTAGAAGCACAAACTAGCTCTGGAGAAGGCAACGATCAGGATTCGACTGAGACCACAACTGAGGTGAGAGGCGCGGTGGGCCCAGAACCACCTCTACCTCCATGAGAGTACTCTGCTGGAACTGTCGAGGTTTAGGCATTGACTCGACAGTTCGACGCCTCAAGGAGATAAATCGCATGTATCTCCTGGACATCATATGTCTTTCAGAAACGAAGCAGCAGGATGACTATGTTAGGGATGTGGGTGCTCAGTTAGGTTTTCCTTTTAATGTATCAGTTCCTCCGATGGGTTTTAGTGGAGGCTTAGTTGTCTTTTGGAAGCAGAATATTCAGCTTTCTGTTCTTAGTTATTCCCCTAATCTGATCGATTGTATGGTTGGCAGAATTAATGAAAATCCTTTCTATTTTTCATTTGTTTATGGACATCCAAATCCGGCTCTCAGACATCATACTTGGGAACAACTTCAACGTATCAGTCTCACAAGACAAAATCAAGCTTGGTTTGCGTTGGGGGATTTTAATGATATCAGAGGAAACCATGAAAAAGATGGAGGACGTAGGAGACCGGAATCATCTTTTCACAATTTTAGAACTATGATGAGGACTTGTGACTTCACGGATCTCAGAAGTTCTGGTAACAGATTATCTTGGGCAGGACAGAGAGGGAGTCATTTGGTTCAATGCTGTCTGGATCGTACCATGGCCAATACACAATGGTTAACTGAATATCCAGGATCAGAAACGGAGTTTCTCGAAGTAGGAGAATCAGATCACAGACCTCTTGTTACTTATATATCCTATGATCAAGAACAACCACGACGTTATTTCCGTTATGATAGTCGATTGGCTCCAAAAGATGGTTTCAGAGAAACGGTGAGAAGAGGGTGGAATGGTACGGGACAACAACAATTATTAAGGACTCCTTTGTCTCATCGTCTGAGTAGATGCAGACAACATATCTCGTTATGGAAAAGAAGAAATAGGAACAACTCTGCTGATACAATTCAGATTTTGAGAGGTCGGTTAGATGCAGCAACCACTACGAACTCAGTCTCACTCAGAGAACGTACGGAGTTAAAAGAGAAGTTAGATAAAGCTTATTTGGAGGAAGAAGAATTTTGGAAACAAAAAAGCAGAGTACAATGGTTAAGATCAGGGGATAAAAACACACGGTATTTTCATGCTATTACAAAAGGGAAAAGAATTAGGAACACCATAAATACAATTCAAGATGGGAATGGGGTCATACGAAAAGGACATAAAGAAGTTTCCCAAGTAGCTGTTCACTATTTCAAAGAGTTATTTTCATCTTCACCAGTGGATAGAGCGTTATATGATGAAGTTTTTGAAGGTTTTCAACAACGTGTCTCCACAGAGATGAATACAGATCTTACTAGAGAAGTAAGCGAGGAAGAAATTCAACAAGCAATGTTTGACATCGGATCACATAAAGCTCCAGGACCCGATGGATTCACTGCTATTTTCTATCAACAATTCTGGGATGAATTAAAACCAGAAATGATGGAGGAAGTTAAAAGCTTTTTTGCAAATGGTGAACTGGATCAACAAATCAACCACACCAATCTTTGTCTTATCCCCAAGCAGTACCCGCCCAGAGATATGTCTGAGTTTCGGCCTATTGCTCTATGTAACGTATCTTATAAGGTGATATCGAAGATTCTTGTCAACAGACTGAAGACCCATCTGGGAGGCATCATTACTGAGAATCAAACAGCCTTTATTCCGGGACGTATGATAACAGACAATATCATTGTTGCTCATGAAATCTTTCATGCACTAAAAGTCAGGAAACGTCAAGCTAAGTCCTACATGGCTATCAAGACAGACATTACCAAAGCGTATGACAGATTGGAGTGGAGTTTCTTAGAGGAAATAATGCAAAGGATGGGTTTCCATGAGAGGTGGATACACTGGATTATGAGTTGTGTTAGAACAGTTAGTTTCTCAGTCCTTATAAATGGTTCCCCGGAAGGATATATAAGACCTGAGAGAGGTATTAGACAAGGTGATCCTTTATCACCTTATCTCTTTATTCTCTGCGCTGAAGCTTTGTCACATCTCATGAGTCGTGCAATGGAACAAAGGAAACTCTTGGGGGTGAAGATTGCAGTTCGTGCTCCAGCAGTGAATCATTTGTTATTTGCTGACGATTCCTTATTCTTTACGTTAGCAAATAAGAAATCAGCCATCACTTTAAAGAAAATGCTCAACCTCTATGAACAAGTCTCTGGTCAAGCTATAAATTTAAGGAAGTCTTCAATTACTTTTGGAAGTAAAGTAGACCCGGGTGTTCAATCGTTGATGCGGAATGTCCTTCAGATTCATAATGTTGGTGGTATTGGAAAATATNTTCCTTATTCTTTACGTTAGCAAATAAGAAATCAGCCATCACTTTAAAGAAAATGCTCAACCTCTATGAACAAGTCTCTGGTCAAGCTATAAATTTAAGGAAGTCTTCAATTACTTTTGGAAGTAAAGTAGACCCGGGTGTTCAATCGTTGATGCGGAATGTCCTTCAGATTCATAATGTTGGTGGTATTGGAAAATATCTCGGGCTACCGGAACAATTTGGTAATAAGAAAAGTGATATGCTTGCATATATAACAGATAAAGTTCGAGCAGTGACACAAGGATGGAAACAGAAATATCTATCACATGGAGGTAAGGAGATTATGTTAAAGGCAGTGGCCCTTGCTATGCCTATTTTCACTATGAACGTCTTTCGACTACCGAAGGAAATCTGCGAAGAAATTAATCGAATTATGGCACGATTCTGGTGGGGATCAGGAGACAAGACAGGATTACATTGGTATGCTTGGAAACGTGTTTGTAAACCCAAAAAGGAAGGGGGTTTAGGTTTCAGAGATATAGAATGCTTTAACCAAGCATTATTGGGTAAACAAGTATGGCGTATACTTCAAGCTCCAAACTGTCTTATGGCTCGGATATTAAAAGCTAGATACTTTCCAGATAACAGTATTTTAGCAGCTTCCCCAAAGAAACACTCATCGTATGTATGGAAATCTTTGTTATATGGGAAAGATCTAGTAGCTAGAGGAATGAGAGTTCTAGTAGGAAATGGTACAACAACAAGAATGTGGATTGATCCTTGGATTCCTGATCATACCCCACGTCCACCTCGTCCTATAAATGGTATCCTTACAGGAGACACGGTGGCTGACTTTATGAATGCAGACAGGACTGGTTGGAATATTAGGAAAATTGAAGACGCGGTGGAACGAGAAGATGTAGAGAAAATACTTCAGATAAAATTGAGTTCAAAAGCAGACTTGGATCTCCTCGGCTGGAACTACAATGACAATGGTATCTATACAGTAAAATCAGGATATTGGTTAAGTACACATCTCCCTGATCAAGTAGATGTAATACCAACCTATGGAGCTGTCCAAATAAAAGAGAAAATCTGGAAAACGGAAGTACCGGCAAAGATAAAACACTTCCTCTGGCGAACTCTGTCTCGGGCATTACCTACAGGTACAAATCTACAGAGAAGACATATTATATCAAACTCTCAATGCAGACGTTGTTGTCAACATGAAGAATCGGAGAAACACTTACTGTTTGACTGCTTTTATGCTAAACAAGTCTGGAGGAGTTCAGGAATCTCGAATGATATCATTAATAGCCCCACATCAACTCTGGAAGAAAAGATCGATGCATGTTTACAGATCTCTATCTCTAAGCGCTTATCACATTTTCAAGATATACCAATATGGATTCTTTGGAGGTTATGGAAAGGTCGAAACAAGTTAATCTTTCAACAAAAGAGCATAGATTGGAGGAAAATAATACAACAAGCAAGGTCAGATGCAAAGGAATGGAAAACACATGGTTTGGAGATATCTCAAAACCAATCTAATATTACTGCAACACGACAACATCAGGTGTACTTTCAAAAATATTGGAGAAGACCTCCACAAGATTGGATCAAATGCAATACTGACGGATCCTTCATAAACTCAGAAATCCCGAGTAAATCTGGATGGATTCTGCGTGACTCAAATGGAGTCTTTAAAGGTGCAGGGCAAGCCATCGGAAACATAGTTCAAAATGCTTTTGAATGTGAACTCCAAGCTCTACTTATTAGTATGCAACACTGTTGGAGTAAAGGGTACAAGAAGGTTATTTTCGAGAGTGACTGTTGGAAGTTGATTGATATTTTAAACAACAAGTCAATACATTTCCATGGTTATAACTGGATACGGGATATCATTTGGTGGAGTCAACAATTTGAAGACATCAAGTTCGACTGGATCTCAAGAGAAGGAAATAAAGCTGCAGATGNAGTATGCAACACTGTTGGAGTAAAGGGTACAAGAAGGTTATTTTCGAGAGTGACTGTTGGAAGTTGATTGATATTTTAAACAACAAGTCAATACATTTCCATGGTTATAACTGGATACGGGATATCATTTGGTGGAGTCAACAATTTGAAGACATCAAGTTCGACTGGATCTCAAGAGAAGGAAATAAAGCTGCAGATGTTTTGGCAAAACACCCATTGATTGATAATCAATGTTTTGTATTTCATTTTTACGTACCAAACTCAATTTCTGATCTTTTGCATCATGACTATGTAAACTCTATTATCTAATATAATATGGAAGTTATAAAAAAAAAACAGACAGTTGTAAGAGAAGGCGCGAAACAGAGACAAGAAACGATCCAAAACCAAAAACATGGATCATCATGATAACGCCAAACCAAACCAACCCCCACCGACTCTAACCACCCCATCTCCGACGCCGTTTCGGGGACCCTACCATCGTCGAGCACACTCCGAACTCCAATTCCGTCTCCCCGAAGATCTAGATCTCTCCGAACCCTTCAGCGGATTCGACGAACTTGGATCCGAAGATGACATCTTCTGCTCATACATGGACGTTGAGAAACTCGGATCCGGATCCGGTAATAATAATAGTAATAACAACCCGTTTCCCGCTGAGAACGGAGGTGAAGGGAGGGAGAGGCCTAGACATAGGCATAGTTTATCCGTTGATGGGTCTTCTTCGAGTTTGGAGTCTATAGAAGCGAAGAAAGCTATGGCTCCTGATAAACTCGCTGAGCTTTGGGTTGTTGATCCCAAGAGAGCTAAAAGGTTTCCTTCTTTGTGCTTATTTTCTTGCCAATTATGTTTCTGGTTCATGTTAGATCGTTAGGACAAAGTTGACATTGTCCTGTTTTATAATTCGCGGGAAAAAAGTGAATATATACTTTTGATGTTGATGTGTGATGCATTAGGTGTTACATCACTTTTCTCTGACTCTGATTGTTTAATCTCAATGATAAACTGAAAAATATGGTTAACATATGCTATGCTCTGCTTTTTTAGGTCTTTTTGGTTGAGAGACACCATAAGGGTCCCATTAGTATGCTTTTGTGTGATATTACAGCTTGCCCCAACTAGATAATTTTTTAACTAGCTTTTTGTTTTGATTCGTTGGTTCAAGCTTGTTGTTCAATCATGTTTGGTTAGATATCTTATCTAATGATGAATTCTTTTTTTTGTGTAGTTAATAAGTTTCGAGTCTTATAAACATTTCCTTTTAGTAGTCAACTGTTTGAGAATTGCGAGTTATAGTTTCAAACGAGTTTGGTTTGGAAAATATTGGGTGTTAGCTTTATGTGGGATCTGATCTTTCTCAATAGGGTTAAAGACTATCCATGTAATCTCACAGATTCTTGTTTAAGGATGGACCTCTAGTGATGTTCGCTATTAATGTCATGACTATTTTGGTGGCATGCTGTAACAAAAATGTTATGCGGTGATGAAAACTTTCTCTGCACTGTTTTAAACTCTTCAACATGGAGTGGAATCAATCAGCATTGTCTATTGCTTGATGCTTTAATTGACTACTTTTGTATGGTTCATTATGTGCAGGATAATTGCTAATAGACAATCTGCAGCTCGTTCAAAAGAGAGAAAAGCTCGGTATATGACGGAGCTTGAGAGGAAAGTTCAGACCTTACAAACTGAAGCTACTACCCTTTCTGCACAACTCTCTTTGTTCCAGGTTTCTTATCACAGACTTCAATACTGCATTTGCAGTAAAAATAGATTCTCTTCTTTGCACATTTTGTATTTACGGGAATAGTACTAATGACTTGGTTCTTGCAGAGAGACACAACTGGTTTGTCATCTGAGAATACAGAGCTCAAGCTTCGTTTACAGGTCATGGAACAACAAGCCAAGTTGCGTGATTGTATGTTAAACCTGTCCCCGTCCTCATTCTCTATGATTGTTTCGGGTTTAAGGCCATTTTATAGATGATTTCTTCCTCCCTACGCAGCACTAAACGACCAACTAAAAAAGGAAGTAGAGAGGCTGAAGTTTGCAACGGGAGAAGTCTCACAGGCTGATGCATATAGCCTCCAAATGGCACACATGCAATACTCTCAACAACATCAACCACAACAACAATCATTCTTTCAACAACAACATCATCAGCAACAACAAACTGATGCTCAAAACTTGCAACAAATGACTCATCAGTTTCATCTCTTCCAGCCAAACAACAACAACCAAAACCCTCAACTTATGCATCACTCTTCTACTTCTAATGCCTCTGGTCAGACTCATTCCTTTTCAGAGGCAATGCATGAAGACCATCTTGGCCGGTTACAGGGGCTTGGCACTAGCAGCTGTGGCAGAGGCTCCAACTTTGGTAGGTCTGATACTATCAGTGAAAGCAGCAGCACCATGTGAAGCTGCCTTTTGTCGATAAACCTATTCTTTTGCTCTCTCTTAAAATCTTTAGCTTAAAAAGGTAACATATTGTGGTGACTGTCTGATTCATTCTTTATTCTGTATAACTGGTTTCTTCTATTTTTAGGGGAGTTTTGAGGTTTCAATTTAGAGACCACCGGTGTTTTAACTTGTCTTATTACTCTCTGTTTCCTGGTTCATGGAAGCTACCTAAGTCTTATGTTCTCTTGCTTTCATAGTTGCTTCTGCAATCATCCTTGTAGATGATTGTTGTATTTGGACTTGGATTTGGCCTTGCCTTAAAACATAAAGAAATTGTTTATATTTTACAGGTCTCCTACCTCACTTAACATTCATACTGCCCTCTGACAGAAAAAAACAGAGAACTAAAAATTATTTTGAATGGACGAGCCATTAATTCAGATGTCTCATGATTATAAATGGATCAATTCATTATTCAGTAGTTATATTTATTTCAGTTTTTGATGAAATACTAAAAAATGAAAATATTTAATAAATAAAAATAAGAAGAAACTTCTATTAGTATAGATAAATTTTGTTTCAGTAAATTAAATTGAAGGAAAGTATAGCTTGTTGGTTAACAGCTCCATGTTACTTTTGCTTCAAGCGCAAGTTTCTTAGGACTTACATAATAGCCCTAATGTCTGCACTCACTTTCTGGTTCTTCACTAGTCTAAAACCGCATTACTACAGTCTACCGACCTACAGGATTTTGAAAAGGCCACTTAAGCTTATAGGGTAACTAACGTCTTAAACCAAGTTAAAACACAAATTACATGAACCGAGCAAGTCATGTTGATGTTGAGGCCACTTAAGGGGTACCCTTACTACCAAACAACAAAATTAAATACTCACATGAGAACCTCTGAGCTAAATCTTCTGCATTTAAGTTTATCTTGTGTCGGCTCAGAAGTTGGGTCATTGAAATGACGTTCTCTTTGGACAATGACCGTTCTGTAGGCACGGAGTTATGACCAGTCCCAACAATTTTGGGGAAAGCAAGGGACAAACGCCTTGTGATGTCTTAAAGTGTGGTCCCTTTTGGTATATCTTTTGCTTCATTTTGGATATATCTCTCACGTGACATTTTTGTGGATGCAATTCAACAGTTTTTTTTTCTTGCTCTTAGACTCTTTTCTGGCTTCAATATAGATCAGTGTTAAACTGGTCGTAATTGTGTTGCTGTTTTCATCCAGTGATAGTAAGTTTTTCAGTTTACCTTTTGGTTATGTAACAAAAAAAATAAAATTAAAAAATTAAAACATTCAAGAGTTTATACATTTCGCTCGATTGCGTTCATAGTAGCTAATGTGTAAGTAATACTGAGAACCTTAATTATACTATTAAGATTTAGAACTAACCAACCCAACCACTTATAAGATTCTTTGTCAAGAAAATCTTACCAAAGAAATGGCGGTAGTGTCAAAAGTAAAGCTAATCCCATTACCTAACCTATAATTATCATATATCTACCATTTTGTGTTGATGGAATCTTATATATTTACACCAATTGCCACTAACAATTTCGTAAATCGATCAAATGTTATCACAAATTTGGATTCATAAAAAGTCTTGATCCTTTTTTTTTGAAGAAATTCAAAAGACTTTTTCTACATTTTAAGGAATCATGAAGCAACCTGGTTAAAAACCAACAATGTATGGCTGTGCTGCTACGTTGATTACCTTTAAGACATAGAATAGTAACTATATAAGCACCATGAAAATGACGTATCCGATAAATGCATGAGAGGAGAGCCTCACACGTAGAGGGCCTAGCTCTTGCATGTGCTAGGTAACATGATAGGACCATCTATCACATTTACTATATTTTATTTATGAGAAAAAGTTTATCAGCTACGCCAGATTTAATATAATATGGTAAAAAATATCCAAAGTATAAGAATATGTCAAAATTTATACGATGTATATATAATACATGTCACATATATTAAGTAACAATTAATATGGTAGCAACATCATGAATGGATTAAATTAATTCTAACAAAAGATGATGGGGTCAATTTGTAATTAATCAAATTAAAGCCATCCAAATTCAAATCCGATTCGACCCGACCTTTATATCAATCCGTATTTGACTGAATTAAACCTTTTTCTCTATAAATCTAAAATTTTAGGGTTTATAAGCCAAAATTAAGCCAAAATTGCAACAGAGAAATCTAAATTAAAAGAGAAAGATGGAACTGGATGGTGGAAACAGCAATAAGCGATGGAGAAAGACAATTCAAAGCACTGTGCTTTGTTATTGTGAGTTATCGACCAAGATATCTCAAGTTTAGAAAGATAAAAATCTGAATCGAAAGTTTTATGGGTGTGAACAATACCAGGTACAGTGATTGTTCTTCTATTATGTTGAATTTGAGTGTTTCTCTGTATAATTCGTCTTTGTTTTAGTGTGAAGGTGAATGCAAGTTTTTTAATGGTTGGATGAGGAAGAAGCTTATGGATGGTAGAAGAAAACTTTAACTGAAGTGAGAAACAAAATTTGTGAGAAGAACAAAACTATTGTAGATTAAAAGAAAAACAATTGCTGAGCCTAGAAATAATTTGGTCAAGAATAAAAAAGTGGAAAAAAACATAATTAACAGTTTTCTTAAGTTCTAATAGTCTTATTGTAATGCTTAAGACATGTGACTGTAATGGTTAAGACATGAAATTGTCTGAATATCTTTGTAATGCCTTCACCATCAACTGGTTTTTCATTCAAAATAGAGTTTGAACTCATTGTTTTGACATCTTTCTCTCTCTTTTCAAAATCTCCAATTTTTCTTTTTGTTTGGAATTCTAGGAATAATGAAATCGATTTGGAAGAAAATGGTTATGTTTGGATTGGATTTATTATTTAGATAGGGTTGAATATTGTTAACCAGAGTTTAACTTTAAAAAATTACACTCTGATCCCAATTATTTAAGCTAAAATCAATTAGATTTTGTTATGATGTTGGCACCATGTTTACATTAATGTCGTATATGTAACATGTATTACCATATACAATACATTGTATAGGTTTTGATACAATCGTATATTTTAGATGGTTTTTACCATATTATAGTAAATTTTGTGTATCTAGAAAACTTTTTTCTTTTATTTATTTGTGGCTTCTCTAGTCGATCTAGGTCATTTAAATAGCTGAGCAATATAACTGTTGTAATCACAACTCGATCTAATAATAATTTTGGAATATTACAAACTAGAATTATAACTAATTAACTAGATTTTGACCCGCGCAACCGCGCAGGTGTTTGTTTTCGTTTATAGTTAGTTATATAAACATTTTGTTTTCACTTGTAAATTGGTATATATTATAGTAATCACATATTTACGATATGTATACATAATAATATGAAAACAGAAGTCATGACTTGACTTCATGTGTGATTTTTTTTAAAATGGACTATTACCAAAACTTATATCTATTGACATATTTTGCATGACTAAGTTGGAAGGTGTGGGGTAATTTACCAAAACCAAATTGTTAAGCATATCTTTGTTATTACAGATATGATTTTTAATAAGATATAATAATGATAAGATTCTTAGAGAGTTAATATAACATAACTTTCTAGAAATAGTCCATTTTTAAAAAAAATCACACATGAAGTCAAGTCATGACTTCTGTTTTAATATATAAGATGATATTTTGGCGGATATCGTTATGTTATAGCAAAGTTAATTTTATTTTTTTAGTTACACTAGAATGTATATGGGGAGTACAAATGATCTATTTTTGGATCTTCAATTTAAAGAATGTTTTTTTCTCCGTCAACTACAAAAATATAAACTGTAACATTGTCTCGTCTTGTTACAAAAAGTATTTTTGAAAAGTGTATTTGATGATAAACACTATGCTACCATAGTAAGACCCTAGGAGACCTTCAAAAATCAAAGCTAGGCTGAATTCAAATCAAGTGTCATATATCAAGTGCATACATTATCAATTCATCATTAGCATGTTTGATAATAACGAGATCACATCCAAAATTTATAAAACCATACTTATTTTTAAGTTTTAACAACATAAGAGGAAAAAAAACTGTGGTAGTTGAGTTGTGTATCAAATGAATACTCAGACAGTCGGATTTGTCATGTAAATTAACATGCATATTATTAATTTCATGAATAATATAATCAGACGTGTCATATAAACTAACATGCAAATTATTGATTTAATGGATAATTATATAGAATAATGTCATCTATTGCCTTTATAGCCAACTCACAAAGATTTGATACTTTGATATAGTTTTTTCAGATACTTCAAGGTGGACGGAATAAAATAAAAATATTATGAAATAGAAAGCGTCTCCCCCATTATTTTCAAAAATCGTAAAACAATAGGAACATGCAAGTGATCAAATGATTGAGTAAAGACCGAGGAACTGCAAACCCCCATATCCAAAAAATAATAAACCAATAGCGTAAACTTGTAATTCTTTAACAATTTTTTTTTTGTCTTTAACAAATTTACTAGATTTTGATCCGCACTTTAAAGGTGCGGAATTTGTTTATTTTTAAAAAAAATTCTATTGAAAAATATAATTTTTTTATTTAAAATATATATATTTGTGTGTGTGAGTTTAAAATGTTTGTAAGTTAATTACACTTATAGTTGCGATGATTGTATTTACATATAAAATAGACTTGGAGATATGATCAAAAATCATAAAGAGTGTCGAAGTGTTGTTCAGGAAAAAATACTCTTTAATTATAAATTGTTGATAGTTTAAGTCTAAATGTTGTATTGAGAGACAAATTCATTGGGTTTTAGACACACACTTTCAAATTGCTAACTAAATTTCGATTGGTGAAATTTTTATTCATTTAATTATCTGTTTTGTTTTGGTCTTGATTTTTGTAATGATTAATTAAATTATAATGAGATAACCTAAATCAGTCATAGCATACTGATGAAATTTTATTTTAATTTGTGTGAGTGAATCTAACTCTAAATGAAACAATTTATAATTATAAAAATAAAACAAAAAGTAAATTTTCAAAATAAACATCAGAATAAATTATTATCTCTATTTTTTTGACTACCATATTTTAATATTCTCACTTTTTTGTTTTACCTTTATGTTTACGAGGTATATTTTTGTCTCATTATTTAATAATTAAACATTAAGAAAATCATTAAAGGTAAATTGAGACATAAAAAATTTAACCTAAAAGTTATATCTACATATTAGATTTCGAATTATTACTGCTCATCATACAATACTGCAATTTCTTTTGAAAAGATCAATTTTCCTTAATATGCGCTACGTTTTATAAAAATTAACCAATTAACCTTTATTATATTATTGATGTTGTATCTACAAAGCTAATGATGTTATTTGATTTATAAACCTTTTATTAAAAAACAAAAACTACTAACCTTATATTGAGTGATCTTTTACAAAATAATAGTTATAGTATAGGTATAACATTGATTATATAGTTATACAACTATATAATAACTATAACACACAACTATATAATAAGTATAACATAGTTATAACATAAAAACAAATATCTATGATTTTTTTACAATATAAAAGTTAATAGTTGTTCTTAGTTTTTTTTTTCGATATCCACTGAGACATTGTCTTCTTTATACAACTATATAATAGCTATAATATAAATATCAATTAATGCAATCATGCTATGAATAATATATGAGTTAAATGATAATGAAACAAAATATAAAGCAAATATACAAATTTTCATGTTTATAAATTATTCCAAAAAATCTTTACTTCATTTTAATCTAACTATATTTCAAAATACTAAGCAATCGGTTTTATAGAAATATCGGCACTATGAAAATAGTACTAAATCATTTTATTTAAATAAAAAAATATTTGACTTAAATGTCCAATAAATTATATATTGTAACCTAAATAAAGAAGATTTTGTGCTGTAAAATGAGATATGTCAGTTTAAGTAGATCCATAAATAAGCTATTTAATGTTAAAAATACCTAATTAATAGCAATAAATAGTTGTTTATTTAAACTCACCAATTTACAAAAGAAAGATATACGTATTATTTATACCTAATTTAACAAACTTGTAACCTAAATAAAGAAGATTTTGTGCTGTAAAATGAGATATGTCCGTTTAAGTAGATCCATAAATAAGCTATTTAATGTTAAAAATACCTAATTAATAGCAATAAATAGTTGTTTATTTAAACTCACCAATTTACAAAAGAAAGATATACGTATTATTTATACCTAATTTAACAAACTTGTATTGTATATGTAAACAAAATTAGTTTCAAAAAATTAGTTTCCTTATTAAATGAGTGAAATTAATTTAAAAAAACCTTTAAAATAAACAATGGCATGCCGTTGTATATAACTAAAAAATCAAAGACAGAATCTTATGAGGGATTCTGCTCTAATAATATAGATTTGCTTACCATCTACAGTCTTGAAATTATTGATCGTTATTTTATTTTTTTTTGAAAAAGTTTTATTGATCGTTATCTGCTTTCATGTTTGTCATCTTCTTTTACCGTGAGACCAATTATTTAGATTTTGTAATTTGATGTTCCAAAAAGAAAAAGATTTTGTAATTTGTTAAACACTTATTATAACAGCAGATATTCATTATATTTACATTTTTAACATAACTTAAAAAAAGACTGATTTGCACATAAAAGTCAGGATATGTCATTCCATCCTGAACTAACTTTAAAATTTATCGGGTTTAAATAATTGTTTAATGATGAGTACATATCAGCCACTAATATTTTGTGGATTATAGAGAAAAAATATGCTCATGATCTACTCTGACTGCATACCAACGAAAACATAATGAACCTTGAATAGCTCCGTTGAAAAACAAGTTGATAATTTTTCCCGATAAACTTGTCTATAAGCAAAATTAACCGGCGAGTTAAACCGGCTGAAGTTAGACTAGAGTTTAGTCTTGAACCCTAAATTCATCATGGTTATCCCCACCTATTATAAAGTGAACTATTTCCATATTCCATTGTTCACGTTAATTTTAAAGATTGACATTGTGTAAATGCGTCAATAGCAAAAGAAAATTACAACATAACTATTTTAATCCTGTACTATTTTCATAAGTTATTAAAGTACGTTGGACATACTGATGTCGCTAGTTAACAGGTCTTCTTTTTTTTTTAACAGTTAATAGGTCTTAGAGCACTTGCATCAGTGATACTAAGGTGGGTTCGCCACCTGTTTTTTTTATTTTTATTTTTTATTTTTTTTATTTTTTTCGTTTACTTTTAAAAAAAAAAAAAAATTGGACCAATGGGGAACCGCCACGTGTCGTGGCGCCCCCATGACATCATCATGACGTCAGCGAACCCGGTTCATACAGAAGAGGTGAGAGGAGATGGATTCCTCGGTAAACGTGCATATTCTCTCTATGAACCCCATTAAAACTGCTAATGCGGATGGTCTTAGAGTAGGATTAACACCGACGTTTAGAAAACCACAAAAAGTGAAGCACCAACGCTTCTCGTGCTTCTTTAAGTGTCGAAGTTTGTCATGTGCATGAGCTCCATTGACACGTAGTGATTGATTCATTTTTAAGTTTTTTATTATTTAAAAAAAAAAAATAAACACTCCCCTCTAATGGGATTGTGTGTTAGTCCTGCTCTTAGTATAAATAATTTTGTTAAAAAACTACCTTCATATCGAATTTTGTTACTAACTACCTTCAAAAACAAGTGATATGATCGATCATATGACCAACTTAAAATAAGAGACAAATGAATAAAGACTTGTGTTTAGAAGCATGTGCAAGTCGGGGCCACTTGATTAGGAATCGTAGTTGGTCTAACCGCAACATTTGCATGTGGCCACAACCTTCAAAGTCCCCCCTGATCTTATAATATCATAAATACACAATTTTATCATCTCAGACTGTTTAATTTGTTGTCCACAAATATTATACGATAGTTTACCAAAAAGGTATATATATATATATATATATATATATATATTATACGACACAAATAAAAAAACTAGGCGTTAAATACTAGAAAATCAAAATTAATATGACTATTCTTCAAGATCAACGGTGGCCTATACATTGTTAACTTTACTAGTTATCCAAACAAGCTACCCATTTAGCCATCCTGAATTTTATGCTCGATTTCCTATGAGAAAAACTTATGTATTAATTGTATGAATATCGGATATTGATGAAGATAAGTATTGGGACTAAACGAGAACTATTAGGCGTAACTCTCTTGCAAATTGGCCGGAAGACATTTGAATATATTATATTGATATGACTGCCTCATTAAAGGTGAAAGAAGAGACACAACAATTTTATATATAGTATCTCTTGCCATTATGATAAAGTCCAAAACTCCTATTTATACTCAGTCCCTCCACACCTGATCCATATCAGTATCACGATTCTCACCAAATAAAATCCCATACTAGTCAAAACCGAATTAACCAATCCTCCAAACATCAAAGTCCAAGCTCCACAAAACAAAAATGGATATTACATCATACTACTCCAAATATTCTATAATCTCAATACTATCCATATTCAGCTTGTTATTCTTTCTCCAAGGAGCTCATGGAGACGATGGAGGTTGGCAAGGTGGCCACGCCACGTTCTACGGTGGCGCCGACGCTTCCGGCACAATGGGTATGAGTATCACCAATAACAATAAATGCGCATGTTAGCTAATCTAATTTCATTTACATTCGTATGTTAGCTAACACGTGACATACCTAAACATTCAGGTGGAGCTTGTGGCTACGGAAATTTATATAGCCAAGATTACGGGACGAATACGGCAGCTCTGAGCACGGCTTTATTCAACAACGGACTCACGTGCGGCGCGTGCTACGAGATGAAGTGCAACGGTGACCCGAGATGGTGTCTAGGTTCCACTATCACTGTCACAGCTACTAACTTTTGTCCACCGAACCTTGGCCTCTCCAACGATAATGGTGGATGGTGCAATCCTCCTCTTCAGCATTTTGATTTAGCTGAGCCAGCTTTTCTCCAGATCGCTCAGTACCGTGCCGGCATTGTCCCTGTCTCTTTCCGAAGGTGTTTTTTTTTTTACTTTTACTTTACACTTGAAATGAAAGTAACATACTAAACCATATGCAAAACAAACAGTTAAAACTACATCAATGTTCTAAAAATTGATGTAGGTAAATCGATCCTTGATGAAACAATTTTCCTAAAATTTGACTTAAAAGATCAAAACCATACTGAATCATTCTAGATCACTTTAAATTAGTCTAATTTGATTAAATCAAATAAAATCAAAATATATAACTAACTTAATTATATTATTTTCAAATTGTAATTAAGTGGTAGTTATTTTTTCTCCAACTTCTTTTTAGTGTCATTTGTCTGATTTTTTTTTGTCTATCTGAATTTTTTTGTATTTTATCAAAATGATTTTATAATAATTTAAAAATATTAATGTAAATATATAATAAATTATGAAATAATTTGTGAAAGACTTACAATCTAAACGTTGAACTAAACTAATTGTGTTGTCAATGCTGCGTAAATGCAGAGTGCCGTGTATGAAGAAAGGAGGGATAAGGTTTACAATCAACGGACACTCTTACTTCAACCTTGTTCTGATATCAAACGTAGGAGGAGCAGGAGACGTCCACGCCGTCTCGATAAGAGGCTCAAAAACAGGGTCGTGGCAAGCAATGTCTAGGAACTGGGGACAGAACTGGCAGAGCAACTCTTACCTCAACGACCAGAGCCTCTCGTTCCAGGTCACCACCAGTGATGGTCGCACCCTCATTAGCAATGACGTGGCTCCTTCTAATTGGCAGTTTGGACAAACCTACGAAGGCGGTCAATTCTAAACCCAACGTTCATCTCGTCTCTAGTGTTTGGGTGTTGACGTGGCTGCATATTAGATGAGGTTGCTCGTACACACACCCGCCATAGCTTAACCTACTTTGTTGTTCTCTTATTTACGGGCTGTTGCCTACGAAGAGCAAAGGTTTTTCATTTGTTTTTTACATGTTCATTGAATTTAGCCTTTTGGCATACTTTACCTTGTAATCTAAAATCGATTAGCCTTTTGGCATAAGAAGCATTATAAAACGAGTTTATATTATTAAACTAGAGAAATGTACTTTTGAGTAGGCCTGGGTATTTTACCCCCAACCCGAAAATCCAAATCGGAACCGACCTATAAATATCCGACTCGAAACCGAATCGAAAATTTACAAGTATATATTGGATCCAAAATTATTTTCCTCGAAATAACTAGAACCGAAAATAACCAATCCGAATAGACCCGAACGCGAAAAGAACAAACCCGAATAGATCCGACTCGTTAAGAACCAATAAATATCCAACTTAATAACGTGAATATCTAAAACTATAAATCTTTTGTGTCCTATTTTCTATATGTTATTTTATGATATAGTTGAAATATCTTTTTGTTAACAGTCTTTATTATTATTATAACATTTTCAAATAATATGAATTTTTAAATGTAAAATTTAAAATTTAAAAACTGTTTTATTTTAGTTATTGATAGTTTATAAGTTATTATTTTAAATATAGACATGTATGATAGTTTTTGACTAAATTTGATGGAATTTGGGTATTTTGTATTCTTTTCATATTCTAAATACCCGAACTTCATACGGATCCAAATATTACATGTATTTTAATTATAGATCCAAACCGACCTGGATCCGAGAAAAATCGACCTGAATCCGAATCGAAAATTTACAAGTACCTATTGGATCAAAAATTGTAGGACTCGAAGAGACCTGGACCCGAAAGGAACCGACCCGAACCCGATCTGAAGACCCGAACGCCAGACCTATATTTTGAGTTAAACCTTCTATATTTTTTTTTTACTTTTAGAATAAAACAATATTAGAGGTAAAATTTACTCCAATTTTTTTTTCAAAGTAGCATTTCTTTACATTTATAGAAAAGTAGATGAATGTTATTTGTTCTAGTAACTAAAACGAGAAAGAAAAAAAGAAAAGCCCAAGCCCACTATCTTCTAAAAGCCTTAAAATGTTCACTGCTATCACTCATCGACGAGAGAGAGAGAGAGTAAACCCTAGCAGCAAGCAGACACACACACACAGAGCTTCTCATCTCACACAGAAGAGAGCTCTTAAAATCGCAGCCGCGTCGCGAAGCAAAGATGGTATGTTCGTGTCTCTATCTCCCCTTACATTAGATTTACGAAATGATCGAGAAATTGATTCGCTTACGATCGTCAAATGGTTACAGACATTCAAGCGTAGGAACGGTGGGAGAAACAAGCACAACCGTGGCCACGTGAAGCCAATCAGATGCTCAAACTGTGGCAAATGTTGCCCAAAGGTACTTTCTTTTAATAGCAATTACAACCATACATTTCTCTATAGAGTTTTGATTTTGATTCTGTGTTGTGTATATAGGACAAGGCCATTAAGAGGTTTATCGTGAGGAACATTGTGGAGCAAGCTGCTATTAGAGATGTTCAAGAAGCTAGCGTCTACGATGGTATCTTTTAGTTCTCCCAAAAAGTTTTAATCTTTATAATATTTGAATCGTGAAAATTGCATTGAATGTGGTTATTGTGTAGGGTACACATTGCCGAAGCTGTATGCTAAGACGCAATACTGTGTCTCATGTGCGATCCACTCTCACGTTGTTAGAGTCCGTTCCCGCACCAACCGCAGAGTTCGTACTCCCCCTCCTCGTTTTGTTAGACGCAAGGTAATTCAATCCCTCTCGTAGTTTAATAATCCTGTGTCTTAGTGTTGGATACATGAAAGCTGCTAGTTGGTTTGACTTGTACAATGTATAATTGAATCTTGTAATAAGCAAATCTAGGAGATGTGGGTTTGATTGCTTTAAGAGTTTAATCTTGAGTTGGCTTCAAGAAGTAAAATTTCACTGTGGGTTTTTAAGTATGCCACCAGTATCTTCAGTTGATCATGTGCATTGAATGAGACTGTTCTGTTCCATCCTTTTGTTGTTGTTTGAATGAATGGACCTTTGTAGGAATTTGTACTTGCTGTTATTTTTTTTTTTTTTAAATTGATGATTTTTTAGGAGGATGCACCAAAGCCAGGACAACCTGGTCAGGCTCCTCGTCCTGCTGGAGCCGGAGCTGGAGCTGCACCGCGTGTCTGAAGCCTCTGCATATCCTAGTTTCAGCTCTCTTTTGTTTGTTTTATGTTTGGTTCAGATTATTCGTGTACTAGTAGTAACATGTGAATCTCGAAAGCTGCTTTAGTAGTTTTTGCTTCGACGTTAGTTATATTTTAAAACTCTTTTCGGTTGTTTTGCTCCCAGAGATTATTTTTTCAAATTAATAAATCTTCAAATAAGTAAAACTGTTAGCCAATGATTTTTTTTTTACTCTTCAAATACAATCAAGTCCTAATTGACCGTGTAATAATAGGTCTAATAGTTTTGTAATAAAATAATAATTAATTTAAACAAAAGATATTAAATCAGATACGGAACTACAATGAAAAAAGGAAATTAAACATAATCCTAGAAAGAAAAGGAATTAGCGATGCCACCGACTGAATCATATATTCCTATAAATATAGCCTTCAAACTCCACCACGAAAGCCTCATCGAAATAGGATTAGTTCCAAAGAAAATCTAAAGAGTATTGCAAAGATGGTTAGTGATGGAGATTTACCGAATGTTGCTCAACTTTCTTTGAAGGCTCCGGTTTATCCACCTGGTTGTCGGTTTCTTCCAACCGAGTTGGGTTTGGTAAGGGTTCATCTTCGAAACAAGGTCACCATGAACAACAACGGTTTCATAACAACTCTGAACGTCTACACCGACGAGCCGTGGCTTCTTAATCACGTTAACAACAATTTGTTCAAGAGAAACGAGTGGTACTACTTTAGTCCGAGGAACAGAACAGGTGTCAAGAGTGTTAACCGGACCGTACCGGGAACAGGAGAAGGCGAAGGCGGCAGATGGAAAAGGACTAGTGGTCAAGAGGCAATCATGGATAAAAACAACAAGGTGGAGGGTTACAAGGAGAGTTTCGTGTACTACAAGAAAGTGAAGGGAAAGGAGGAGAAGACTGGTTGGGTCATGACAGAATATTCCCTTCATGAGGGTGTTCATGACGATTTGGTCTTGTGTTATATACGAGGAAAGATTGAGAAGAAAGCAGAACTCAAGCAGGTTCCTAACAGAGGCGGAGGCAATGAGTGACTAGTGGTCAGACCCACTTTTTTTTTTCATATACTTGTTTTTGTTTAATTTTTTTTTTATTGACAACATTTAAAACAAAATTTAAAAAGTATGATCCCACTCAAATAATTACAAAAAATTAAAAATAAAAGATATTTTTCATTATATAAATAATATGAATATATTTTTTATTTGTTAAACATTGGATTTATTGATTTTAGATATAAAAGAAAATATTTTTAATCTTCAGTCTTAGTTACATATTTGCATTAAACCCAAATTGGTCCAAAGAATTAATATTAAAACACAATTATCATAAATGAGCGAATCTGAAAAAAGAAATAGATGATTTGTATTTCTTTTTGCACAAACATCAAACAATGAGATTTTCATGCTCAACAAATATTTTTTTTGATAAATTTCAGGTTAATTTTCTATTTTTTGTTATATATTTTTCTTTTACTTATAATATTTTACTAAACTATAAATGATTATAATTCATTGATTCAATTCAATAAAAAAATTTAGGATTAATCTATGTTCATGATCTATGAATTCCTTTAACAAATAACTCTATATTTAGAAGTAGAATAATTCTTAGAATCAATTACAAAACTAATAGATCAGTTTTTATAAATCTGAAAAGAAAAATTTATTAACGGATGGTAGTTTTTTAGACATCAATGAAGCTCGTCAGAAATATTGCAAAATTACATTTGTGATCAGTTTCTAAATAATTGTCTTAATTTTTTCATTAGAAAAACTATTTGAAAATCTAGTAAATGAATCCGTGATAAATAATTTTTTTGCTAAATATTGTGATAAATAGTTTCAATAGTTTTTATGGTTTATAATTTATTTTTAGATCATAAAGTATATTTATAGTTTTATGATGGTTTATAAATTATCTAATTCAAAAAAGTTCTATCTCTAAATTATGTTCTGCCACTGGTTTCTAAGGTGGAGGACAACATTTTATCTAACAAAGTGCAAGATGAAGAAGTTGGAGCTGCACAGTTTGCCTGAAGCCTCGTCATGTTTTTTTTTGTTACAAGGGTTTAGACTCGTCATGTTTTTTTAGTTTCAGCTTATTTGAAATTTTGTTTCGCTATGTTTGGTTCAGACTAGTCGTATTACTACCGTGTGAATTCATGAGTAACACTTCACCAATGAATTCATGAGTGACACTTCCATGAGAAGCCTTTGATTACTTGCAACAAAAATTTTCTATGAATATAATTCAAAAAGGACATTTCACCAATGCTAGTATTCCATGCATCACACACCGACATTGATTTTTTTTCTTGTAACATAACCGACATTTATTTCAAAGCAAAAACAACAAATGTTGTTTATATGATTTTAATCAACATACGTGATTCTCGGAACGATGTGCTTTTCAGTTGGGCCCATTTTCTACAAGTCATCTCCCTGATTGTCAAAAAATGTGCTGGGGATTTTAAAGAGCTTTATTCTCAATTAAGAGTCAACAAGTTGGTCACAAGTAAATTCCAATAAAAATTCGGAGTATTAAGATTTAATGAGTTTTTACTGTATAGTAGTCGTTTTTTCTTAAATTTTAAATACAACTTGAACTTACCATGGTGAATGATGAAAGAGTAGATTAACCCCATTTGGTTCATCAATTGTTTTTTTTTTCCACGGAAACTTTGAATTTTATTAATGATCCATGTTGTACAACGTTGCTATATATATTTAATTAAACTTATCGCACTTAGATAACAAACAGAAAAGAGAGAACTTTTTTTTCAAATAACAAAACTTATTTTATAACTGAAAACATTTTTGCAAAGGGCAGATTTGTCTATGAGTGTTACTACATACATAAATTGTAGATGTCACATTTATTTAATAATGATATAATTAAAAATGTATATATATAGAGAACGACATTTTTTTTTGCTAAAAGATATATTTTTTGATAATACATAGAGAAAGATATGCATTATCAAAACTAAAAAAAAGGCACATAAATTGATTATATGGAGACGTTTTAGGACAAAAACACACCTGAACAAGTAAATAACATGTAACTACACACATGAAAACGTATCATCAGTGGCCTATAGCAGGGCTTGGGACATCACCTTGCCTTTTATAGATATCATCACCATAATCAGGGACTGGTGGTGATGGTGATGCTGAAGAGGCTCCATCATCATAATCACCTGAATAATCGACTTGCAAGTTTGTAACCATCAACTTCCTGCTCTTCATCGCCTGGAAGTACTCTCCAACGACGTGAAATGCTTCCGGCTCCGATCTAGTAGTGCCTCTCATACTGAACCCAAGAATCAAAGGAATTTCATAGATGAGTAAGAATGAGACTAGTATAACGCGAAGTTTAATCTTCATTGTACTCATTTGTAGTCGTTATATATACCTTCAAGAAAACGATCAAATAAATGGTGAGAATAATAGAATTCGTATATATGGATTTTGTTTCTTCTTGTTGTCTTTACGGTCCAAGAAGAGATTGTGGTGTTGTTGTTCATACAATAATGCATATATATATATAAAGAAACATTGAATTATATATAACTATATAAGAAAAGAAACATTGAATTATCAAATTTGGAGGGCCAATACAAAAAACTTTGTCGAAATTGGTGGTCAACATGGCCATATTTTACTTTCTTCTTTTCTTTGGTTTATATATGTTATCTTCCTTTCTATCGTAAATTCGTAATGATCCATCATTGCATGCTTTCTTCTATGACAAGTCGTATACTTAGCTTGTTGGAAAATTGATAAGATAATATATATGATGAGTCATGTATTAATAATTTGGTTATTCAAATCAAAACACAATTAATAAACTTTTCAGAACATGCATTGAGCATTTTATCTGTTGCTTTTATTACTCATGTAAAACAAGTATGTTTTTGAAGAGTCGTAAGCGTAACTAGAGGAACTGACTTGCGCGAATAATTTAATTTTTAAAATAATATATAGCGTCGGTTACAATATAGAACATGAATATTGTTTACAAATGTCATCATTGGTCAATGGAGACTGAAGTGGTAAAATAGCGTAAACTCGATATTAAAGCATGGGACTAGATTTTTTAGTTAAAACCCCATCATAACAATTCTGAATTAATCATGGTCTAAAGATATTTTTAATAGTATACTATTTTTTTTATAATTCACACTAAAATAGAATAATTCTATTATAGATTGAACTATTGAATTAAATTAAATTCTATAATACAATTATTCTATCTTTGTAAAATATAGAAAAAAATAGTATTTCATTGGAGATAGTAAATACAGAGTTAATACATAACCAGTGGTATCAACAATATCCGACGACATAATGGTTGTGACTGTTTCACTGATATTTTAATATTTTTTATATTTACTCTACTTACTGTTCATACAGTAAAAACAATCACACACACACACACACTCAGTTTCACTCTTAATTTTGTTAGAATAACACTATTTATCATTCTTTCTCTTCTTTTCTACCATTTCAGTTACCATTCTTTTCACTTTTATTTTTCATCCTGATATATTCATCATACCAATCAGACTCCAACACAGAAGAGGTATATATATATATATGTGTATATATATATATATATTACTATTATGTCAAAAACATGTGATCTATGCTTATTTTATAAATACTGTATTTCCTAAATGGTTTGTTTTACTTATAATTATTAATGTTTGGAAGTTAAAGACCATTTGAAAATAAAGAAAATATGATTTTATAATAAAGAAATACAATTTATAGGAAAAAACAATCTATATTTTAAAAGAAAAATATAGATTGACTATAACTTATTTTTTTTATTATAGCATGTAAAAATAATAATAACAGTAGGTATGAAATGTTCTTATCTTATATATTACATAATAAAGTTTTCTTTGTCAATTGGCCTGTTTGAGTATTTATTCAGTTATTATGAGAGATATTTCACAATATAATTAATACATATATTAATAGTATTGTTTAACATTTCTGTGCTTTGATTTAATTTGAGATTTTGTAGGTTTTGGTGATACCAATATTAAAAATGTTGTCTATTCTTTTTTATAAAAAACTATATTTTTCAAAATGATTTGTTTAGTTATAATTATTAAAGTGTGAAAGTTAAAAGACCATGTCCTCGTCTTTTAATATAATATGTAAAGTTGGGTTATGTTTAATATAATAGTTTTATTTACTTTGATTAATATAGTATGTAAAGTTGAGTTTTTTTTTTTTTTGACAACAAATGCATAAAAACCATGAACTATTTTCTATCGGTTCAGCAAGCCCAACCGCGGTATGGAATCAACATAAAACACAGTTGAAGGAGAACGTTGAGCACTTTGTGCAAGCTTGTACGCCACTAAATTAGTTACTCTTGGTATACGTCAAATTTTGAAAGTAGGGAAGAAAGTCTTACTACGTCGAAAGTCTTCCAAGTGTGTAGCATAAGCGAGCCATTCGTCAGATGAGGACACCATCTTTATCAGTAGAGAACATTTTGTTGCAAAAAATACGTCTGAATAATCAAGGGTCTTCATGCACTCCATAGCCCATATCAATGCTTCACATTCTGCATGCAAGGCTGATAAGCTTATTGGGAGATTCATCGCCCCCATCATTTTCTCCTTAGAATCCGTCGCTCTAAAAACCCATCCATGTCCCGAAAATTTATCATCGACTTTCCATGCACCATCGATAAAAAAAGTTATGGAATACCCCAAAGCATTCCAATCATGAACTTGTGGAACCATAGGTTGTATTTCCGGAATTTTAAGTTGGGCTTGTGCCCATACCTCTGCTTCCGTTTCAGCAATTATAAGGATTTTCTGAGGATTGCCTATCTTGTTATTGAAAACCTTATTGTTCCTATTTTTTCAAATATACCACAAAATCTATAAAAAAATTATTAAAATCATAGTTTTATTAGCAACCTCCAAAAGAGATGATCCATATTAGTGAACACCAAAACAATAGGAAAAATATCAGAATGGAAGGAAATTTTTGACAGAACCCACGTTTGCAAAGTCGGGGGACACTCAAAGAGAGCATGATTTATCGATTCCTCCACCACACCACAAATACTACAGCGAGTATCACAATTGATACCACGTGCCCTCAAATTTTGTATAACCGGTAAAGATCCCGAAATAGTTTGCCAAACAAAGTGTTTCAACTTTAGAGCGCATTGAAATTTCCATGAAAAAACTAGTAAAGGTTTAAAATCCAGTCCAGACCGTACTAACTCTTGTACCTTATGTGGAAAATGGGATTCAACCATATATCTTGGTTTAAAGTTGAGTTCTGTTTAACATTCTTATGTTTATTTTGAGATTTGTGGGTTTTGGTAATACTAACAATTATATATATTTTTATTTATTTATATAATTGTCTATAAATTAATATAATTAAAATTGGTTAAAGATAACAACATATTTTAAAACAAAAATATAATGTTTTTATCCAGAAAAATATTTTTTAATCAATAAATTTTAAAAATTTAAGAAAATGAAAGATTCATAAAATACTATAAATTTTTTTAA